TAAGACTTGTCTAATAAGTGATACAGAGATACCAAGGAAAACAGAAATTGATCGATAAAGTAAGTTTCTTTTTTCCTTTGATCCATTTTTTTAATGCATTTTTTGTAATCAAATTTGGGTATTTGATTTTGAGAATTCCATATCCGAAATCCTTTTTTGCAATTTGTTTGAACTGAATTATTTTCAACTTATATGAACCATATTTTGAACTTGTATTTTCAGCGGATCCCCATACTACCACCTCCATCTTTCATTCCATTTCTCATTCATTATTCTTTATGTGAAATGTTATTCTTTATGTGAAATCAGGTGATGGCGATTATCCCTTCAAAATGTTAATATTCTTTTAGAATGACGAAAAATTTAGAATGAGGAAGGTAAATATTCTTTCAGAATAAGAAAGGAAAATATTCTTTCAGCATAAGGAAGGAATATTCTTTGGGTTCTCATACAAAATTCTTTGGGTTCTTATACAAATTTTATAAGGGTATTCTATTATAGGATTTGATAATGTGTATTTTTTTGGCAGAGACATGAGCATGACATATATTAGACGATGAAGATAAATGTGTTCTCACATAATGATATTCTTACAGAATGTAATTCTCGTCTTGCTGTTAGTCGCACAGAATGTCATTCTCGTAAGAATTGTTAGAATCAAGTCGTATATGGCTCATTGAAGAAGATCAAGTGCATTTGCTTAATAGTTGTATATTTAAGCATGCTATGTTTTCTAAGAATTTATTTAATTTTTATGACATTTTGTAAGAATATGTATGAATCTACATTTACATGTCCATGGATATACAATGATCTTGTTATTTTTCAACTAATGGTTCAAGAATGTTGTCTTTCTTCAAGAAGTTCATTTAATCAAAATATGTATTTTTTCAAAAATATGTATCCTGACATTCTTATTGAATATTTTTCTAACAGAATGTCATTCTAACATAATAAAACCGGGTATAAAAAAAAGTCAATAGTTAAACCATATCAAACAGTAACCAAAATCGATGCAACTTACTGAGATGTCATCATTTACTTTAAAATCGGGTATAATTAAAAATTACGTTAGAATTAAAATTGAATTAGTTAAAAAATCAGAATTTTTAAATCAAGAGAATTAATTAACCCCAAAAATATGGAATTTTCCTTTTTTAATTTTATCTCAATTGACTAAAATACCCTTATAGTGAAATTAGATTGTATTTTTCAATTATTTTTAATTCAATAATATTAATTAATCACTTTCTTAAAATAACTAAAATGATTGGTCCACAATCAATCCTACATCCACACAATAGATAGTTAAAATACAATAACCTAAGCCTATATATATATATATATATATATATATATATATATATATATATATATATATATAGTGCTAGGTTCCGTTGAGATTCAAAATAAAATAGAGATTTTGAGATTCAACATCAGCCACATAATTCACATCTACCGCTCTAACCCTCCGGAGTATTGGTGCGGCGGGTCAGTTATAATCATAAATGATTATGTAGCGTCGTCTGTTCCTTTCACCTCCGCCACCTTCCCTACCACCACAACCGCCACCGCCACCACCACTACCACCACCTCTGCCACCAATCGAACCCACCACTATCACATCCATCACTTATAATCATATATGATTACTCAATCTGTGAACATATATGTATAATCATTTATGATCAGGCATATACGTATAAACTTGTATAATCATATATGATTATACCTCTTTGCCATATAATCATTTATGATTAGACATACCCATCTGTTGTCGATACGCTGGAGTGTTAGAGCGGCAAATGAGAAATATGTGACTGAGGTTGAATCTCAAGATCTCAATTTTTTTTAATCTCAAGTGAATCGTCCCCTATATATATATATATATATATATATATATATATATATATATATATATATATATATATGGGGTAATAGGGTATGCCATTCTGTCCCATCATGTGAAAAAATTTGTTGTAGGCCCATTGGAAGATTACCGATGTGGAAGACATGCATGGTTTGGGTAGGAAATGTTTAATGTCCCAAACATTATAAGGTAAAAAGTTCATTTTTAATTCAACCGTAAACACCATTTAATCATTTCAATCATTCAAAGGTATATCTGAGTAGAATCGTTATAAGAGTACAATTTCAAAATCATAAAGTGCGGAAACGTGGGTGGATGTGTTGCGATCAAGTCGGGCCCTTCCCTCGCGAACCGGGAGTACCTGAAAAACATTTTAACATAAACCTTAAGCACGAAGCTTAGTGAGTTCCCTAAAATACCGCATACCATACATACCTACCAGCTCAAAGCTGCGTCGGGTTATTTCACCTCCAAATCTATTTTCAACTCATGTGTCAGCACAAGGTTGTACCGTGTCTATTTCACCCCACATACATATAGCAAATAGGCATATAACACATACAGCATGAGTCACAAAGACTGCAAGCACATAACATATCCTACTGTCCTACAGTATAGTGAGCAAACTCATATCAGTTTGTTGTCAATCGAACATATGTTCGGGCTGCTGAACCGGAGAATCCACGCGCTAACCAATCAAATAAAACCTCAATTAATAATTGGGCCATAAACCATAACCGGGAATCTAGTTCATTTGTCCAACACCCAGGATAAAAGACCATTTTACCCTTCCCTCACTTGGCCCAATAACCGAGGCCCAAACTTAATGGCACTAAAAGCCCAATAATGGCCCAATTTCTAAAGGACTCCCAAAGTCCAATATGGCCCCAAGTCCAAGAAGTCCCAAAGCCTCACAATGGCCCAAAGTCAGAAAGTTTAGTGGCCCAACAAAGCCCAAAACCCTAATAATCCAAATATGGCTCAAACCATAAAAGTCAACGAAAGTCAAACGACTGAGTACGCCCAGTGTACTCAATCTATGCCCAACGTAGGGGTGTTCATAACCGGATATCCGAAATTTCGGATAGTTGATTTTTGATATCCGATTCCGTATCTGAAATTTCGGATACGGATTCGGATACCAAAACGGATATCCGAAAATTTGTAATTTTGTTCAAATTTGAAAATTTTATATTAGAAAAACATATTTTTAAAATAGAAAGGCATATGAAGTAATATATGTATCTAATTAAGGGTATTATGAATATGTTTTAGTTACTAACATTCATATTATAAGACATATGTGATTAAAATAACATATAATGTATAAACTAAAATCAAAATTTTCGGATATCGGATATCCGAATTATCCGAAAAATCTGAAAAACACTATCCAATTCCGATTCCGAAAAATCGGATATCCGAAAATTTCGGATATCCAAAAATTTGGATATCCGATTTTTCAGATAATTCGGATTCGGAATTTCGGAATTTCGGATCGGAATTTCGGATACGGATATTTTTGAACACCCCTAGCCCAACGTACGCCACCTTTGGCCAGTACGCGCTACGTAAGAGTTGTTTGCTAAATAACTTCTTCGTTCCAACTCTGATTTCGATGATCCTTATATCCAAGGAAAGGTAATGAGAAGCTCTATAATCCTATCAAATCTCCTTTGCTTTAGAACTTTCCAAACTTAAATCAAAATTCATGAAAGAAGTTTGAAACACCACTTTTCCCGTTTTACCCTTTGACACCAAAACGCAATCAAGGGCTTGGATCGCACAACCAATATTATCACCATCCAATAGTGTCTAAACCTTATTCCATTGAAGCCCAAGGCATTTACTTGATCCATTTATCGTCCACAATCCTGAAATAAGAAACTTTTCGAAACATGATGTTACAAAATGGTTTCATGTCCCTGGGCTCTTTAGGGACCCAATCTCAACCGCACTTCATATGGATATAATTCGTTTGGAGGAAATGCATGTTACAAAAAAAAATCTGGGATGTATATATTCACTGTGTTTTGAAGTTGTAAGAAAGACAGAGATTAATGATCAGAATATAACATTTTAAACAAATGAAAGGGCTCATTTCTATAGGACGCAATAGGTGTTTTAGTTATGAAGTGTGTTTTTTTATGAATTGTGTTTTTGTTATGAAGTATGTTTTTTTATGTATTAAGTCGTGTTTCTAGGTATCAAGTCATGTTTGTCGTGGTTTGAACTATTAACTCGTGTTTCTAGGTATTTTAAGTTTTAATTTATTGTAACTTTTTTAATTTAATATGAAATATTTGTGTTTAAAAAAAATTATTTAATGTTAATTGCTTTTGGTTTAAAAAAATAAAATTCATTTAATATTAATTGTTTTTGTTTTTAAAAATATATATATTCTAATTAAATTTGAAAAAGAAAAAAATTGAGTGATAGGAATATTACCACTCCCTATGAAATGCTAAAAAAAAACCAACAACTCAAAGTGTAGGCCTTGAAGGCCAACATGTGAGGCACAAATCTTTGGGGCCAACTTCAATGATTAAAACTATTGTCAATCGTAACTGTCATTCTTGATGTTTATCCATTTGAATGTAACCGTTGGTAATTGGTATATATAAAAACTTTATCTGAAACAAACAAGCTTTAATTAAATGAATAATTAGTGATTCATTCCCAGTTTTGTGCCTGAACCTAGCAAGTGGTCTGAAAAGTTGATTTGTAACTCTGTAGCCGCCAGCGGTCCAACTTGTACATAGTCCCATTTCTAGATCCCAGTGAAGCCCCCATTTAATTATATCAAACATTAAAAATCAAAGTCAAGCGTATACGATTCAATAAAAGACGGCTGAAGGTTTGCATGATTGCAAGTTGTTAAGAGCTACTTGATAAATATTTTGGCACATTTAGATAAAGACTAGAGCTTGAGGGCTTTCATTAACTATTGGTTGTAAGAAAAAACAAGGAATATAGTTGTAAAAGATAAGCCTACATTTGGTTTCCTATAAATTTGGAGTCCATTTGCTCGACTTTCATAACCTACTTCCTTAGTTCCTTACCTTCAAACTTAATCCAGACAACATTCTCTTCACACCCTCCTAAGTCCTAATTAATAAAACTTCTAGATATGGAAGTCTCATATTCAATTTATACTCTAGCCTCTAACATTCTCCTAATAATACTTCTCTTCACTTACACCATTAATTCAATCTCTGCCCTTGAGAAAACAAACACCGAGTTCATCAGAGCATCATGCAGTTTGACAAGTTACCCTACACTCTGCTTCAACTCACTCTCAACTCGATCAGGTGCAATCCAAACAAGCCCTAAGCTACTAGCCCAAACAGCTCTTTCTATCACCCTTGACACAACACGCACCACCTCATTAGCAATGATAAAACTGTCACAAGTTCATGGAATGGCTCCACAAGAAGTTGCTGCCATGAAAGACTGCATTGAGTTGCTGAGTGACGCGGTATACGAGTTGAAAAAATCACTCGAGGAGATGAGTCAACCGGGTTCAAAAGATTTTAGGCTAGTGATGAGTGACATACAAACGTGGGTCAGTTCTGCATTGACGCATGAAGACACGTGCTCTGAAGGGTTTGTGAATGACCCAAAAATGAAAAGTGTGGTGAGAGGAAAGATTGTGAATGTTGCCCATTTAACCAGCAAATGCTTTGGCTTTGATCAATAATTATGCTTCTTTACGTGGATAGTTGAAGGAAAATAGAGAATTGATGCTTATATCTATTTTAAGAATCACATAGTAAGGCAGTGAAATCGCAAAACATCCAAACACTAATCATAAAATTTTATATTGGTTTTCTTATAGCGATGTGTGAATGTATTTCAAACTTTTGCTACCCTTGATTGCAAATGCAATGTACTAGACTACTGAGTGAAAATATATATCTATTTGAAAAACATTATCATGTATTAACAATATCTTGACGATATTGTTTTTATACATTCTAGTATCATCTCTCATATTGCTTTAAAGAATGTTATCCCTCCCCTGTTTCTAGTCACCATGCTTTTCATATGCCAAATGTTATCTACAGAAACAATCTTTTATCTTTGTACCATTGGGTGGATCGTGGAATGTATGGTTTCGAGATTTTTGCATTAGAGAAAAAGGGTGTGTCTCTATATGAACTTTTATGTTACCTTATCCATTGCTTATGATAAATAATAACTAAAAACACAAAATCAAGAACAAACAAATGGTATTAATACATTGCCTTTAAAGAATCACAAATTTTCGTCATAAGGTCACATGTTCAAGACCATTGGGACTATAACCATGTACGTTAATGAGATGGGATCTTACACAGATCTTGTTTAAACTTAAAAACAATTTGGTGAACTGGCGAAAACAATCGAATCCATGTTCTTATCTAATGACCAAAAAAGTGGGGAAAAGGGATTTGATTCCAAGAAAACTGGAATCAAAGTTGACAGGGATCTAACAATCTAATGCTCCGATCCTGAAAATACCTAGAGATCACTGCTGTTCATTAGTCGAAAACTAGTCAATGATACCTCAGTTCCAAAACTTAATCACCATTTCAAATAAGCGAAGCATGAGCAATAGAGATGAGAGAAATACATCAGGATATTCTACTGTATAATTAACTTGTTCAACACATCAAACAACACAAATTTCATCGTGATTACAATTTCAAAATATCTACAAGATATTAAAAGGCTTACCTCTCGAAATATCCATAAATATCCACCATTCCAAAACAATGCATTCATCTGTGTCTGTGTGTTTGTGTGTGTGTGTGTGTGTGTGAGAGAGAGAGAGAGAGAGTAGAAAGTGGTCCAGAAAGTTGATTGTAATTGTGTAGTCCCCAGCCGGACAACTTAAACGCAGTGTCCCATCTTTAGACCCCAGTGAAGCCCCCTCCACTTCATACATATCTGACTTTCAAACTTATCCTCTTTCATGATGTTGGCAACCCTTAAAACAAACAAACTTGAAAACTAAGATGAAGGATTTGAAGAATTCATGCTATTTGTTGAACTGCTGGTGTATATAGAACCAAGGATCTGTTATAGGTAGGATGGAATAAAATGACCAAAGAAATGAATAATTGAACAAGCAAAGTAACACAACCAGTCGTTTGACCTAAAAAATGAAATGAGTCGTTCAAACTTATTGTTTGTTATATGCAATTAGAAATAAATCAATAAAATAAAGAAAAAATGTTATTGTAAAAAATAAACTCTAATCAAACAAAGATTTATTGCCAAATAAATTAGATATAAACATATTGTATCTACATTTAAATAATTAATATATGTGATGTAGGTATTCTAAAAAAGTGTGTATATCACATTGAAAAAAACGTACACAGTTTTAAAATATTAAATTAAATTAAATACCATGAATCTTATAACATAAATATTGTTTTTTTATAACAGGATGTAATCTAATAGCCTACTCCCAAGAATTCCCCTTCATTTACTTATCAAATATGACAAATCAATAAAGGATGGCTAAAGGTTTGCATAATTGCAAGTTGCTTAGTACAACTTGGTAGATATTTTCACATAAGACTATGACATGTACATATCTTCTTAGATAGAGACTAGAGTTAGAGGTTTCCATTAATTTTTGCTGGTGGGCATGTAAGATTATCAAAAGGGGACAATAAGGAAAAATTGTAGAAGATATCTAACATTTGGTTTCCTATAAATTTGGAGTGCATTTGTTCAACTTTCATAAATCATAACCTACCTTCTTAGCTTCAAACTTTAAACCAGATAGCATTCTGTTCACACCCTCCAAAAAGAATTTTCAAATATGGAAGGCCTATATTCAATATATTCTCTAGCTCGTAGCATTCTCCTAATATTACTTCTCTCCACTTCCTCCATTACTTTAATCTCCGGCCTTGACAAAACAAATGTGGAATTCATCAGAACATCATGCAGTTTGACAAGTTACCCTACACTCTGCTTCAACTCATTGTCAACTCGTTCAGGTGCTATCCAAACAAGCCCTAAGCTGCTAGCCCAAACAGCTCTATCAGTCACACTTGACACCACCCGCACCACATCCACAGCAATGGTAAAATTGTCACAAGTGCATGGCATGGCTCCCCGGGAGGTTGCTGCCATGAAAGACTGTATTGAGTTGCTGAGTGACACGGTGTACGAGTTGAAAAGGTCACTTGATGAGATGAGTCGACCGGGTTCTAAAGATTTCAGGTTGGTGATGAGTGATATACAAACATGGGTGAGTTCTGCATTGACGGATGAAGATACGTGCTCTGAAGGATTTGATAATGATCCGAAAATGAAAAGTGTGGTGAGAGGAAAGATTGTGAATGTCGCCCATTTAGCTAGTAATGCTTTGGCTTTGATCAACATCTATGCTTCTTCTATACACGGATAGTTCAATGTAGCATATATAAGATGCAGAATTTTATTTTTGTTGCCTTGTAGTAATGTGTGAATGGCCTTGATTGCAAATGCAACGTATTTTATTGAGAGAATTTATTAATTTGAAAATATTGTCATGTACTAATAATCTCTCGAGGATATTATCATTTCTTGTATTGCTTTTATATATTCTATTATCATATCTCAATTTGCTCGAAAGTTGTTCTAAGAATGTCACAAACCAAGTTCTGATATAAGTTCACATAGGGTCAAGTTTTAATATAAATTCACAAGTCACGCTTGTATCAAACTTGTTTTATTAAACATAAACTATGATAACTTTTTCTTTAAGCCTAGCTCAAACCTACATCAAGTTATTGAGGCTAGAACACCATCCGGTCAAGCTCCAGCTCGGGTCAGCTCGTGTGCAACCCTATTTCCGAAAGGATTTTGGGGATAAAAATGTTGGTGATGTTAGTTTCATCAAGCATTTTAGGTGAGTGGAATTTACACGGGTACAAAAGGGGATTTGGTCTATGCTAAAGTACGAGTTTAGGAACAACGTTCGTCACACACCCTAGAGTGAACGTCCTTTGTAGACAGTCGATCATGCGGGCAGGGTCAAGGGCAACGCACTGTGGCCTAAACAGTTTTGAAGGACTACAAAGCTAATGGATCAACTACTAGCGAGTTTCGAAGGTCAAAGGTACTAAAGGCCAACAAATACGCGGTAACTCCCAAAAAATGTAAGTTGTGAAGGGACAGTTGTGTGGTAGGTTTTGAGAGGTAAGTATAGTTATGAAGGGTGGAGCATGCACAGGACATGTTTAAATGGTTGTCAACCACCATATAACTGTCATTCATGATATGGATGAGCGTGGGACGGAACCGGTACCGACCCGTACCGTTCCCGATTTCCCGAAAACCGAATTTGGTCGAAAGTCAATCCCGAGTACCGAACCGAATTAACATCACCGGGAATGGTACTGGTTTTCGGTACTAGTACCGGTACCGGCGGTAACAATTCCCGAATTTCATGTATTTGGAGTACCAAGTATCGTCCCATATTTTTACATTCGGTACGGTTTGGTACCGGTACCGGTTCCGGTACGGTACTGGTACGGGATCGGGATTTGAGACAAACTGCTCATCCCTAATTCATGATGTTTATCCAATTACATGTAACCGTTTGTATATATACATAACTTTGTCACTAATTGTAGATTCTCACAAAATCCGAAACAAACAAGCCTAACACAAAATTTTCCAAGTTTTTGTCGTAACTTTGATTGGATTATACCCTACTAGATTTCATTTGGTGTCACCCAAGCTATTGTTAAGTTGTTGAGTTGTGGAGTCTGATGGTTGCCCAGGGACGTATCAGCTGCAATGACAACCAACTATTTTTTTTTCTACATCCTAATTTGTGTATGTCAGTCATAAACCTAACAATGACATCTTGTAACATGAGTTCCCCAACAATTAGTAGCATAGAGGTAATGTCCTCAAGCACACATCAAGGTACGTATTCGAAATGAGGCTTTAATGAAGATATAGTGTGTGTGTGTGTGTGTGAGAGAGAGAGGTTGTTGAAGTTGAATACCAATTGTGGTGTGGTGTGGGCCAGAATGTTGATTGTAATTTTGTAGGCCCAACAGGTCCAACTTGGCATGTAGTGAGTCCCATTTGTAGGAAGTGAGGCCCCCTCCCAAGTGCCAACTTCATACATATCTCAAACATTCAATGAGTTACCGTTTTTCATTAAGTCGGCATGCAACCCTTAAAACATAAAACCCTACGAGACTCTCGAAGTATTCAAAAATTCATATATGCTAATCTCGGGAAAAAAAACAGCAAATTTGGTCCTATGTTTGACAAAAAAAAATTAGGTCAATCCCTTAAACTTTCAATTTTGCATACATCGTCCTTATTGGCATATTTCGTTGTGGTTTTGGTCCCTCGAATTATCACCATCGGTTTAAGTTCGTTAACACATGCTACAAATGACTATTTTACCCACTATTTTAAATAAAAATATTGATATTAGATAAAAAAAAAAAATAACCCGCACCCCACCCACTTTTCTCTCTTGCTCATTCCCTCAAAATACGCCGGTGGTATATCATTCTTCCGGAAAGTCTTGCTCCAACCATCTTTAAAATAGAGGATGAAAAGGTCATTTTGGCATGACTTAACGGACTTAAACAGATGGTGTTATCTTGAGGGACCAAAACCACAACGAAACATGCTCACAAGGACGATCTATGCAAAATTGAAAGTTTAAGGGACTAAAACTGCAATTTTTTTGACAAACAGAGGACCAAATTTGCAGTTTTCTCTAATGTCTATATAAGCAGGGTTAGGAATACACTACCCCAAAGATGGCATCTTTCGTTTAGTTATATCAAATATTAATAACTAGGTTATAACCCGTGTGTTACACGGTTGACAATAAAAAAAATTATATAATAAGGAAAAAAATTATTTAGTCATACTTTTGCAACCAGTTATATGTATAATATAATTGATCTATATTGGTAAGTTTATGGTCGTCTTTCTTAATTATTATCTGAAACTGTTACAAAAAAGAAATAATGTTATATAAATCATTATTAATGAGAAAAACATAAGGATGTAATATGATATATTTAAATTTGATATACTAAGTATGAAAAAAAAAACTATTATATATATATATATATATAATATATATATATATATATATATATAACTTCGACTATAACTATTCTCGTTCATGTTAAAAACATGTATAGTGGATGAATTTTGAATGACTTATATAGTATACATATTTTTAGATTTTCTATTATTCAAGTATAACTTTTTAAATTTTCTTTTAAATGATAATATACTCCATGTTCTTTGAATCTGCAAAAAAAAAATTGCTTTAAATAAAGATGATATACAATTAGTTATTAAAGGTAAACATTTTGTAAGTTTCAAGTTTATATGTTTGTGACATTTTGTTAAAGAAGTAATCGAAAGGTTTTAATAATATAAACTAATTATCATCGACTAAAAAAATAAAATATTTGGATTATACAATCATTAACATTCAAAAAATAGGGCCTCTTTTTTAGTCTCTAAAAGTGCATAATAATATATAATGCATATCTATGTCGCAATGCCACATAGATGTTATACGTAATGTTTAGCTAACGGTTCTTATAAGAGTCTAGCAAAGCCCTCCCACTATGACCGGTTTTTTGCTTAATGTTTAATTAGAGTACAATTTTCTTTGGTTCGGGTTTTGCTATATGTTACGTTTAAAAATACATATTTAAGATTTAAATTAAAAAACTATAATTTTACAAAATGACGTTAAGGAAAAAAGAAATGATAATTAGATTGATCGGACAATAAAGTACAATGCCCTAGATGTAAATACTTGAAAATAGAGAGACTAAAATAATAAAACTTAAAAAAAGACAATGTCTAAATTAGATGTTGATTTTACATTTTTGGTAGGATTGCTGTTTATGGCATTTGGCCCAACTATTCTTAAAAAAGTGTATGCTCAGTTGCAGAGTATAAACTACTATTGTAGAAAAAAACTTGAAACTAAGGATAAATTTGAATCTCCAGTTAAATCAAAGATTCGAATATTAGATGGGTTCACATAGTTATTCCTACTTTCATAGCAATGTTCCTGATCGTTGGTTAAAAAAAATATGTGAGTATGAATTTAAAGTAGGATGCTATATAAAAATTATATAATATAAAGTCCATGTGTAATAAGTAAAAAATAGTAATGTATTTTACTATTTGATTTGAAAATCAAAATTTGTACTATGTATCAATAAAAGTAGGATGTTATATGAGACATACCATTGAAAGCACATTGCTATTTCATGCTTCATCAAAACATACAGTGCTAAACATACACGCATCCAAAATAGAAATTGCAGAAAAACAGAAAATAACAAATAAAAAATGTAGGCAAATAGAAAAATGCAGAAAAACAGAAGAAAAAAAACGTTATGAGATTAAGTATCTATTCTATATGAGACATACCATTGAAAGACCTTCATGATTTATGAAGACAAACATTATAACACAGACACGATGACAGATACATAAAAAAAAAGGTATTTTAGTTTTCTATTTATTTGAATATGTAGGAAGAAAAGAGAACCAACATAACCAACCCCTAGTATGAAAGATACAAAACAACAGAAACCAACATAGACACTGACATACATTTACATTGAATATTACAGCAATGAACTTTGATAGAAGTTACATGGTATTGTCTTGTTTGTTTATTTATAATTGTGTAGAAGCAAAATAAGTTCTTGCTGATCGATTCTATAGGCTGATGGTATAAGAAGAAATTTAATACGATTTCTGAAGAAAAAATAAGGTGAGCCGTTTATTTATCCTTAATTTATGGGATAACCCATAATTTTTGGCTATTTAAAATTAGAATGTTTAATTAGATAGGAATGAATTTGAATTCTAATTTGGGGTACGATTTTTATATCAAACGATGAATTGATGAATTCAAAATTCAAATTAGGATTGGATTTAATTTAATTTTTTCAAAATTTGAACGTCACCCAAAAAGCTCTATCCAAGTATGAAGCTTATACACAGCAATATACCATAGAAGATGTCCAATCCTTTTTCATGATTTTAAAATCGGGATTACAATCCAAGAGTAATAAATAACAAAACTAAATCAATAAGAAAAACGCATCTCTAGTAAGACAAGAGATAAAGAGATGATGAATAGTGAGGATTTGCATCAAGAAGCTCTTTTTGGAGGAGACATATTCCCGATGAGAGAAGTTGTTTTACTGATAGAAAATATTTGCACAAACAGTCCTGTGGTGCCACACAATAAAGCCCCAATTGTTAAGCTGTCCAACTATATTTTCAAATTAACAGATTGGCACAAAGGCTTATTAATTATTATACTCACCAACAGAAACACAAGCAATCTTCAACAGATCAAACTTATCTGTTTCCCAGTTACTCAGACCAACAAGAGGTGTGCTTGCCTTCAGTTCGATACCTGAAGCAATTGATCCAAGTATTCCTATAGATGATGCAGCCATATAGAATTTCAAAAAGCTCACTCTGCTACGCTTTCGACCTGCAACATAACAAAACAATCATAATAATAATAATAAATAACTTCATACACAAACATATCATTTTCTAAAATAACAGTGCTTACCCAATTCACCAATTATAATTGCAATCAAAGTTAAAGATATCGATGCAGCAGCTAATATTTCAAGAGGCTCCTTCTTTAACAGAGTGAAAAGAATGTCAAATACTCCTAGTACCACTACCACTGCCTGCATTGCATTCAACATGGATATCTTGTTACTCAAGTTTACAACCATCAAAGAAAACAACATAAAAGCCTACACAAATGATGCAAACAATTTTTCATATCTATCATTTAAAAACTTGGCAAATAATCATATAAGATTTTAACAAACTATACAAAACAGCAAGCAGCAAAAGAGCCCGTATAAGCGTACCTGAATCACAAGAACTTTGGAGAGTGTGGATTTCCCCTTGGCTACCTTTGTATATCCTAAAGTTAAGATCCAAATACAGAGTTGAAATTATAAAGATGAAACATACAACACTATAATTACATACTGAAGAAAAAAGACATACTGTTGTCCACAACCATTCTGTATGAGAAATCGGAGCCATCGGTTCCCGATGGACGCCGGTTGCCAGAATTTCTCTGCTGCATCTGGGCAATGGTACAAATGGTTAGTTTTTTTATTATGAAATTGGTTAAAACTTGTTTTTTTTTATTAATTTCCCATCTTTTTTTCACAATTTCGTTTTTATATGTTTTCTAAAAGTTTACAAAATAACCTTTTTGCAACTTATTAAACATGCTTTTTTTACAACTTTCAAATGTGTATAGAATGTGCTCACAGATAGTTGATGATCAGATGAAAAGATTAACTGTTATTCAGGAAGTTTAAAAGCTGTAAGAAACTATATTGCGTCAAGTTAAAATGTAGTGGAAATGTTGAAAATGTGAAATATTCAGAAACCAAATTTCAGTCAAGACTCAGCCAGATAATAGGTTTGAGTTCAAAACCCAACTGAGGCTGATAGAATACCGAGTAAGTAATGTGAAATATTCAATTTGAAACAAAATTTTGAGGGAAGAGTCTGCAATAAACGATTGTAATTTGACTGAAGACTTGGCCTATAGCCTTTTGTTAGTTAAACACTTTTTTAGCTACTTCTAAACCCTAAAATGTAAAAGAGGTGAAAATGTTGAAAACGAAACCTAATTATTGAACGGGTGCAACTACAATCAAACCCATATCAAAACTGTAGGAATCAATAACCGATTTAAACCCTAAATTGTACACAAACATTAAACAAGAAGAATAGATGAATTGTTTTTTACCTGGGCAAGTGCTTCCGGTAGTGAAGGAACGTCGTAGCAGTTCACAACAGAAAAAATAAGGGAAAATGTTTTTTATGATAAGGGATTGAATAGAGCAGGGGTGCACCGGTGATAAGCTGCGGCGTATAATTCGATGGTGGTGGCGATCGGCGGTGTATAAGGTGATGGTGGTGGAGCGGCTTCTGTTTCTGCTGAGAAAGGAAGGGAAGAAAGAAACACTTGATGCCGGCGCAAGATAGTAAATCCTGTGTATAAACAATAACGACTGCAAATTAATCGTATATAATATAACTAATCTGATTTATGAACAATTGCCGTTCTAGCTCAGTTGGTAGAGCGCGTGGCTTTTAACCACGTGGTCGTGGGTTCGAGTCCCACGGATGGCGTTATACTTTTCTTTTTACCACAAGTTTTTGTTGAACAAGTATCAGCTAATGTCTTTTTTTAACCTTTTTATATCACAAGTTTTTCTTTGAAAAAGCTGAAATTATATCTTTTAGATTAAATTCATCTGAAAATTATAATGTATAAAAGTCCAAAATTTGATATATGTGCTAAATTGATATCCCATCTCGTTTTTAGACATGCGTATTTGCGATCTCGGGTCGGTCTCGAAACAGTATGGTCTTTTTGCGGTCGGTCTTAGAATGGTCCGGTCTTTTTTAGGACCGATTCCATCCAGTCTCGGGCTGGTCTTTTTTCAGATCAGTCTCTTTCAGTCCGATCTTTTTTTGGGACCGGTCACGTTCTTTTTCGGTCCGGTCTCGCGGTCTTTCTATATGTCTTTTTTGTTCGGTTTTTGGGTTTTTTCGGTCGGTTTTCGGGTTATTTTGGCCCGGTTTCGGTATTTGTTAGGTTTTTTAGTTTCGGTTTCGAGTTTTTTCTTGACAAATATGTGATTAACACCAAAATGATAGATTAAACATTATTAAAACAATAAACTAAAGTTTAATAAAATAAAAAAAGAAATGAAGTTAGATAGTGTGTGATTAAACATTATGTAATTAACACAAAAATGATATATTTATAAACTTTGGTTTCGGGACTTTTTTTAGAGCGGTCTCAAACCGGTCTTGTGTCGGTCTCGAAACGGTCCGATCTTTTTTGGAACCGGTCTCAGAACGGTCCAGTTTTTCTCGGACCGGTCTTGGACTGTCTTGAGTCGGTCTTTTTCGGTCCGGTCTTTTTTATGACCGATCTTTTTTCGGTCCGGTCTTGTTTGAGACCGGTCCAGTCTCGGTCTTGTTTTGGATTCAGTCCGAGACCAATCCTTTTTTGCAGGTCTACTCGTTTTCGCTCCCGTTTTGTGTGTTTTAAACTTTTAAACTTTTTTTGGGCTAAAATGGAAATATTTTTTGGGCTCAAAAACGTTGTGTCCTGGGCTAAACAAAAGTATGTTTTTGGGGCTATAAGGGGATGGTTTTGCTGAATTTTGACATCTTGAAATTTAGATTTGTGGCAGCTCAAAAATAACAGCTTTTGTAGATTTTTATATGCTCAAAAATAATAGACACCTTTCCTTTTTAAGCCTAATATGCATTGGTATTGGCTAGTGTTAATTTTAGCAAATTTGTCGAAGATTTTGAAGCACATTTCAATGAGACAGTTAGGTAGAAAGGAGTTTTTGAGTGTATTATGGATGCGAAAAAAATTGGTTTAAGAATCGAACCAGGTGTTTGAAATCGAACCGGTTTCGGTAGAAACCTATTTCATATAAATTGAATCGGCGTTTTGAATAGGTTTGGCATTCTATGCATTAAAATCGATTTGAGATCGGTCTATGGTGAAGCGGTGTGAAACAAGTTTGGGCAGTGCACTATTAGTCACACCCCGGCCGGCGGCGGAAACGTCGAGGTTGCGACGTCGAAAATTGGATCACAGTTAACAAACATACATTGATCAGTACAAGAATTGAATAATATTACATGTCTTCATAGATTTGAATACAAGGATTACATTAATTCAAACTTCGGAAATGCGAGTTTACAAAACAAGTTCTGCAAGGCGTAATTTAACAAAAACAAAAAGGCATGAACAGGTTGGCCAACAATAAAAGACAGGTTATTTCATAACTCATGAGGCTTGAAATCCAGCTTCTAACTTCTTGAGAATACACGCGTTTGGAAATACGTCAACAAAAATTATTGGTGAGTTCTACAGGTTTTTCTGACTCTGTTTGTCTTGTTAAAAGAGGATTTGTATATAAAAGTGAACTGTTATCAGATTATATAAAAATGTTACTTTTATAATTCATACTTGTAAAATAACAATGAGAAGCGTCATCATGACCTAAGTGTAAATGTACTTTAATCCCATATAAGTATGGATGTTGATTCACTTATGAAATATAAGTTGAATTCAACATGATTTGTATACTCTTAAGTGTTTATTTTATTTAAATAAAACACTCTTAATCCTGATCTAAGAGTAAATCATTATACTACATACAGTTATATTCTAACTTGTATTAGTATTTTTGAAGTGAATTTCGGGCAATGTGGAATTATAACCAAGCTATAGTGAGTTTTATAAAAAATAACTTCTATAAAACGTATAATGTTTGCAAAGAAAAGTTTGTGCAAGTATATAACCAAAAATGTTACTGATATGATTTATGTGAAACTCATACTTGTAATCTGATACAAGTATTCATGTTAATTTACTTATGATGAATAAGTAAAAATCAACATATTAATATTAAGTGTTTATTCTATGTAAATAAACAATATCAATTTGTTTAACATTCTACTTGTGAATCTCTATACTACATACAACATTATCTTAGTATGTATTAGTATTTTTTTAATCCAGGATTTTGTGGAACAATAACCGAGCTATATGACTTGAATCTGCCTCCGTGAAGCACAGTGAAAATCAGATTGGTGCTCGTTGTCCTAACGACGCTTCATCGACATCGTGATAAAAAGACTAAAGATAAAAACAAGAAGTTATCGTCCATTTTATTTCGACAAATGATGGTTGTAGCTAGCAACCACATACGGGAGGTATCAACCCGAATATATCTATACGCACATTACTCTGATGGTTGTAGCTGCATCCCCCAGAGATTTATTATGCACTGAACATTTACAAATTACTCTGATGTTTTGAGAATACTTTGACTCTGATCGTCTTTTGGAACAATGAATGAATGGATTTAACTTATTTAAAATGAAATTTTTACTCGGTATTTTTGGGACGTTACATTTCGCTCACAAGGATTAACGGTTATTACAAAGGACTTCACTAAGTTGATGTTCTTAGTTTGATGAATGAGAAACTTCCACAACAATCCCAAGTTTTAGTTACAATTCCCAATTGTTTATGTTCGAAAACTTTTGGTTGTAAAGCTTAATGAACTTTAAGTGTAAAGATACAATAGTTTTGTTATCCAAGTTTTAGTTACAATTCTCAATTGTTTATGTTCAGGAACTTTTGGTTGTAAAGCTTAATGAATCTTAAGTCGACATATGCACAAAACAATAATAAGCAACTACATGTAATCATAGCAGATCTACCAATCTAACATAACACTGCCGTATAACAACATCCTACACACAATGACACATACTGCAGTATAAACTATAGTGAGAAAACTCACATCACAATCTAGCAGATAACAACACTAATCACAGATCCAATAATTGGCACTACAGGTCACACATACAACAACATGGACCAAATCTCAAAATACAGACCAAAACCCTCATATTGACGTAAAGTCAAATTTGTTCAAAAAGTCAACGGTCATAGTCAAAGTCAACACTTAAAGGTCACTCAGTCGGTCGCCACGTCGTGACCACCCTTTGGTTACGTTGTGTAACATCGTAGAAATACGGATAAAATTTTTGTTTTTAATTTCATTCAATCATAAAACACTAGTATCAAAATAGTCAAAAGGGTATCATAGTAACATGTTATCAGAGTACAAATTCCCAAAATCTCTAAATGCGGAAATCATAGGGTGATGCGGTGCGATCAGGTCGGACCCTTCCCTTTCGAACTAGAAGTACCTGAAACAGAAACAGAAAACTATAAGCACAAAGCTTAGTGAGTTCCCCCAAAATATCACATACTAAACAAACATACTGCCAAGCATATTTGGGTGCTTGCCTACCCCTTCGGTCAATTTCAATCGGATACTATCAATTATATTTGGGTGCTTGCCTACCCCTTCGGTCTATTTCAACCGGATACCGGGTCTATTTCACCCCCTACTACTACCATATAATATCATAACAAGAATCACAGAGTCATCAAGCAAATACATGCATAACTGACATTTATCACAAAGACAATCATCACACTACATCATAAACTAGTGGGCCGGCATTGGTGCCTTCGACCCTCGGATACTGCGAAGGAAGACTCACCTCAGACTGAAGTTATCAAATCGCACTCGGCGGATGACTCACGATTCCGCTTCCTAATTCACAAGCATAAAATCCTAATTAGAAATTAGGCCACATCCTAACTCGAAAGTCCAAACCCTAATTCTTGACTTAAGGCAAAAAGGGCTTATTTACCCTTGCCTTATTGGGCCTCCCACCCTCCAAGGCCCAAATCTATACAAAGTCCAAAAAGGCATCCAAACCCAACTATAAGTCCTCTAAGGCCCAATATGGCCCAAGAACACTTAACATGGCCTTAGGCCCAAAAATGTCTTGTTACCACAGGTGGCCCTAAGGCCCAACCTAGACAAGTCCAAAATCCCAACACTAATCGAGCCCAAAAGTCATCTAAGCCTACAGACTGCGTACGCGCGGCGTACACGGCTCGTACACCCAACGTACGCTGATGACCATCCGGAATTGGGGCACTGACCGAGTACGCGCAGCGTACTCTAGAGTACACCCAGCATACTGGTCAGTCAGCCAAAAATTCTCCCATGACTTAATCCTTTAAGCCCTAACGTCCAAAACTTATATCCAAGCTCAAAATAACGTCTTAAGCCATAAATTGCAAACTTTATGCTTTTTCATGCATTATTGGGGGTTCAAACTATGAATTAATCCCATTAACTAACTTAGGGGGTCACTAACACATGCATGGCTGGGACTTAACTTCCAATATATGATTTTTATGACTCCACAAAACTCCAAGAGTCCAAAAGGACAACTCAAATGGCTTGGAGTTGCACATACTCCAAGAAACCAAGCTATGGGACCAAAAGATGCCATATTCTACCCTAAACCTAGATCTAAGCTTGTAATGATCAAGGTTCAAACTTTATACCTTCAATAGGCTAGAAATGGAGCACGAACTCTGGATCTACAAGCTCCTTCTTCACCTTTTCTTCTTCCCAAACCTCTTTCTTCTTCAAACCACCAAAGAACACCAAAACACTCAAGGTAAGCTCAAAGATGCACTCAAGAAGGCTAGGGTTCAAGATTGACACTAAAAGGGCAGTGGAGGATGAGAGGGTAACGAACTTGAGGGACTTAAGTTCTTTAAATAAGGTGCAAACCCAAAAAATTAGGTTTGCCCATGACTTGAGTACGTCCAGCATACGCATGGGTACGCCCAGCGTATGTCGGGGATCACTCGATGACGCGCATGCAAGGAGTACGTCGTGCGTACCAAATGTACACTCAACATACTCACGGGTCCTCCACCACCTTTTTACTTTAATTAAAATAGAATGAATCATTAACTTCATACATGGAGACTCGGGTGCTATACGTTGTGACAGCATGAGGAGAAAATAATTATGAAGCTGACCATCGTCACGTTGTGACAACCAACCTATCACGTTGTGAGGATCGCTCTAGATAGCTTAATGCATTTGTTAATCCATCAAGCAAAGCACTCAAACTTTCCAAAATGTTTTCCCCATATCAAAGCACCATAAAAATTATTGCTTTTTAGAAATGCATGTCTTGAACACAAGCTAGGTCAAAATAAAGGAAAAAAATGAGATATAATATCAGGCATGGACTCATAAATCACTGACTCTCCCGATATAGAACAGGGAATCACAAAGGAGCCTCAAGAACTCATAAAGTTGCCAACTTTACGAGTTTCCAACATTCAAACTTCTTCAAACATTGAGAAAAGTGGACAAAACTCTAGATCTAACATGATTGAGCTAAAAATCAGGAACTTGAGGACATACAAGAGTCCCAGTACAGCTCAAGATGATGAGAGAGAGGCTTGCTAGTTGAGATGATGTACCAAAACTCCTTCTCTTCTTCTTCTTCTAGGCTAGAAATAGCCAAAAAGGAGCTCACAATCAATAATGGAGGATTAGGGTTTTCTTGAGGGTGAAGGGAGGTGATGGAGGCTGAGGGTGTGCAAACCTTAGCCTTCACTTCCCTTAAATAGGGGCACAAACCCTATAATTAAGGTTTTTGCATGTAGGGTCGTCATGTTGTGACCAACATGTTGTCACGTCGTGACAACCAATGAGATGTATGTTCTTCCTCAGGCACCGTCACGTCGTGACACATACATGCTCACGTCGTGGCCAAGGTTTTCATCCTTTAATACTTAATTCGTAAACTCATAAGTGATGCTTACCTGGAACCAGATGTTACATCAATGGTCATTTTATAGGTCGTTTCTTATACCTCTCTTATAATATGGCTTCGTGAATGAAGCGTACTAGAGATTCGACTGAATTTTTTAGTTATACGTATAGTATTAAAGCTCTTATATGTATATAGGGTGTATTTTAAAACATTTTAAAATTACTAGGTTTAAATTCAAATTTTTTAATTAACGATTAATTAATTAATCTTTTAAACCAATTATGGATTTAATATTTATCTTTTAAATAACCATTACTTAAATTTTATGTTAAAATCCATTAAGGATAATTCCATTTAATTATCATATAATTAAACATTAGGTTTTCTTATTTACTTCCTCAAAATTCGAATTAGGGTTTTAAATTTATCTAGCATTATTAGGTTCGGATTTTAACAGTTAAAATAATAGATAATGACTAAAATTTACCCTACTAATCAAATTAGGTAATCAGAACCCGAAAAAAATGGATTTATGAAAAGGCGCGCCACACTTTTCTCGATTTTTTTTCGTTTTTCAAGTGTTATGATCTATCAATTGAAAAGGCTGTCTCTGATACCACTGATGGAATTTATAGGTTACTAAACATTGTACACACGGAATTTCACTTAACTCTTAAGGGTACATGCAACATAAAGGATCTATGTCTTTTACAATTAATAGCAACATACTTATGAAACTAAACTAAGAACCCTATGATATAATCGAATCTCTTAGAATGGAATACATACATTTGTGTTATAATGTAACGTTCATGTTTCTCGCTAGGCATTAATAAGATTATATATTTGTAATGGTCAACAATTGTAACATTTTATGAAGTTAATAAAGATAATTACATGAGTATTATGTGATTTACGTAGTTATGTGTAGTATACGTCCTTAAAACAATATACTAAAATAAGAATAAAATATACGTCCAACATAGAATAATAATTTGGACGAATAGCCTTGATGAAAGATGGAGTAGTCGTGATGAGGATTCCGGAGATATAAACAACACCCCAATCTGACTTATAACAAAGAAGTTATGATGCGTTGAAGTTTCGCGTTCGAACCAATACGGCTACAGATATCGTAAACAGTGAATCGGAAATAGATCGCTTATTAGCATAAGTAGTCTAA